GTTATACCCAGTGGATAATGTTTGGTTAAATTTTTCCAACATTTAACATTTTTTCAAATAAATTTTTATTTAATCAATCAGATATTTAAAAATTATTATTAGAAAATTAAATATAGGCATGTACTAAAAATTATTAATAAACTCGAAATAAAATTAAATTTTATATGATTTCCGTCACCAAATGGCAGATCTTGATTTGTTGTCGCAGGTAAAAATACAGTCGTTGTTTCAGGTGGTGGTGTTGTGGTCACAGTTTTTGGTACCCTATATAATAATAGATTAAATAATTAATAATTTATAAATAATTAACTTAATAAAAATAACTTATTTTTTAATTGCCTAGTATGAGAAGGTGGGGTTGTTGTCGGTGTTATCTCCGGGTCTGTTGTCGGTGTTATCTCCGGGGTTGTTGTCGGTGTTATCTCCGGGGTTGTCTCCGGAGTTGTTTCGGTAGTTGAAGAAGTTGCATTTATCGAAACGGTTAGAGAAGTAGCGGTAGGCATTATAATAGTAGAAATAGGTACGGTCAATGTCACTACTGTATCACGTCTATTAAGTTTATCATATTTTTCATCACGCTGATAATTAGAATTGATCGGAATTGCTTCTTTGCGTTTAAAAAAATATTCACTTTTAATGGCCTTTCCTCTTTTTCTTGTTATTATTTTGTTGAAATCATTTTTTTCATATTCAATAGCATTTATTACATTTATTATCGCTATCAAAAAAATAATCAAAATCGTTAAAATCTTCATGATTACCAATTTTATTTTAGAGAATTGAGAATTACTATATTTTTTTACGATTAATTTATATAATTTATTCCATCATATAAGACATATATTTCATATGATATTAAAATTTTTAAGAAATCTTATGATTTTTTTACCAATTCGAAAATTATTTCATAATATTAATATATAACGATACATCATTCATTATTACTGATCTACACCACATGACACCCATTCAGAGCATAGTTAAAAATCTTGTGATTGGTTGCAGTGTGTAAATTTCGTCGTGTAACTAATGCAGATTTCTACAAATTTAGAAATCATCTGCAGAAAATTACTAATGTGTAACGTGATACCCGCCCGTTCCGCCCTCTCAATTTTACTCACTGATCAGGGACAATGATTTTCTGTGGTGATGAAACACTAATTCCGTCTGTATATAATACTAATATTTTAATTGATGATCATCTATAATCACTAATTGCTTATAGTAACAATTGGTCAACTTCAAAATACTAAAACAAAAAAAAAAATTATATCATTTTAACAAATTTAACTGATAAGTTTTATTGTTCATGACTCAAGCTTCAAAACTTATTGGCTGTTTTTTTTCTTAAACTGAAAATTGGCTGAGCCTTAGCATTTTGAAAATTCTGAATTTTGTTATACACTTGAGAAATTGAGACGAAGTAAATTTCGTGTAACAACTTTTTTTTTATGGAATATTTTCAACAAAAAAGTTTAACAAACATATTACATTAAAAAGGTCATGAGATTCAAAATATTGTAACACGAAAATTATCAAATTTAAAAAATCTATGAAAAAGAAAATTTGAGACAAAAAATTTTTTTAGATCCCTTTTTAAAGCTGAATTGAATGGTGGTGGGTTTTTTAAAATTCAATGTGTGGATCACATAATATTTCAAAAATTTTAACTTTTGAGTATAGATGATCCACCCAATTTATATTTAGAATTAATTTTAAATTAAATTTTTTAATATATAATGTTAATATGTAGGAGAGTTCCTGAATCTGTACTAATAAATATGGAAACTATGACATGAAATTTTAAAATCCAAATTTGTAGAATATCTGCTACTTTGTCACGTGAATATTTGGTAAATCATGAAAATAATCAGTAAATCACGGTTTAGATGGTTGCCAAAATTTCAAGTAACATAATAAAGTTACATAACTTTAAACCATTATAACTTTTTTTTTACTAAATAACTCAAAAAAAACTTTCTATTACATTATTTTTCATGTCCAGAAGATTGCAAAAATAGAGAGTTTTTGGTAAAATGGCCCATATTTAGTGAAGTATCAGCATTTAAAGATTGGCAACATTTTGTGATGTCTTTAGATGATCGGCACTATAATCACTATTTTATAAAATACACTGCCCTCCAAAAAGTATTTGGACAATGTTTTTTGATAATTACGCAAAATGCCACATAACGAAAGTATATAAAATTTATGTCATTTTATGGCTTGGTTCTGATGAGTCTACATATAAAATCTCATTTTCCTATCATTCTTTTATGATTTTTAATTAAAAAAAACAAACACCAAATAAATCACGAGGCTTATTTTTGTGATTTTCCAATAATTTTATTTTTCTCAAAATTTTATATCATAAAATTTAATAAAAATTTAACAGTTTGTAGTTTAGGTTCTCATAAATAAATGACTAAAACTTCATGTTCTTGTCACGTGTAAAAGTTTTGTTATTCAAATAAACCGAGTACCAATAAAATTGATTAGATCAAAAAAAATCATGAAAATTTTTTTTGATTTTTAAAAATGGCAAAAAAAGAAAAATTCAGAATTAACTGAAGTCGAGTGAGGAAAAATTTTAGGCCTAAGAATAAGTGGTTCTCTTGCAAAAATTGCAAAGAAATTTAATATTCCAAAGTCTACAGTTCATTATACTATCAAACATTATGAGAATGCAGAGAATTTAAGTGCACCAAGAAGTGGTCACCCAAAGTTGTTGAAAGTTGAAGATCAAAAAATTTTAAAAGAAATTGCATCAAAAGAAAACTGTAGTTCTTTAGAGGAAATTCAAAAAAGGTTTGTAGAAGTTAATGGTAACGGAATATTAGTATTTTTTTAGAAAATTAAAAAATTTGAAATGATCATCATTAAATAAAATTTTGGTCGGTGTTCGTTTTTTTTTAATTAAAAATCATAAAAGAATGATAGAAAAATGAGATTTTATATGTAGAGTCATCAGAACCAAGCCATATAATGACATAAATTTTATGTACTTTTGTTATGTGGTATTTTGCATAATTATCAAAAAACATTGTCCAAATACTTTTTGGAGGGCAGTGTATATTTAATATTACAAGTGATGGCTCTTCGTTAATTTCCTAATTATGATAAAAATGATTAATAGAAAATAAATGGA